CACGCGTCGAAATGCTTTTCCTCAAGGAATCGGCATCGACCAATCGACGAGAAGATTTTGAGGATGATCGCGCGGTCGACTTCGGTGCTTGGGGAGACTGGGAGCGTCGAGACGACAGTCATGCCCTCACGTATCTGCGAGCAATTCCTTAGCGCGCTTCGCTGCGTCCAGAAGAGAATATACGCGACCTTGCACGGGGTGTTGGGCATTGCGCGAATGACCTTGGTTGTGGGGAGGACCCACGCTTTGAGCTGGGCCATGGTCACCCCAGCCAGGATGCTGATAAGGAGCTTGCCGTCAAGCGCCTCCTTCAGTCCCGACTCCCCTAAAATCGTGTGCGCGAGCTGCGGTTTGCAACTAGCGAAATCAGCGTGGCGTAAGGGCAAGAGGCCCGACACCTACCATAGTAACACGACGTCCGCCTTCTGGGTAGCTTCCAGATTCCTAGACGCGAGCACCTCGACGCCCGCACCTAATGAGCCAAGGCCACCGAAGATCGAGCGCAGCCGAGTCGCGCTCTCTTCCCGCGACACACACGCAACAAACCGGGTTGGGACGGACGCGTCTGGAGGTCCTGTTGGCGTGAGGGTGCCTGGCGTGTGCGACTCCCATTTTGCCGCGTTGCTTATCGGTCGCGTGGCCGTATCGAGACTATCTATCACGCCCGAGAGTACTGCGATCCCCATCGTGCCGCATCCTGTCCGGTATTAGCGTCGTACAAGTCCTACCCGAGGGAAACGCGAGACCTAGGACGCAGAGAGTGTATCCCATAGCTACTAGTATTAGCCCTGATTTCCAACGTGAAGATCGAGGAGCCTGAGACCACAAAGAGATCAACAGTCGGAAATGTACACTCAGAGGCTACGAGTCCGTCGGAATTTAAACCGACTCAGGTCGCGTCCAGATATTGCAGCGCAGGGTTGGAAGGAAGAGCTCGAGTCATTTCCACGTTTGTCACGACAAGGCATGAGAAGAATTTGAAATCGACCACAAAAAAAAAAAATTGCCGCTCGCTCAACATACACATATTGGGATCCACAGTTTATAGTAAAATGATAATTATGGACGCGTGAATCGAGTATTCGCGACCATACTCAGGCTGCGCAAGAAATGGATAATATTCGTGCACGTTCCTCGCGGCTCGGAAAGTATAAGAAATCGATATCGTGTTGGGGAGAGACGATAGAATGATTACACCAATCCGTCAGAAACAATGCAAACAGTTGAACCAAGAGCGCACGCCTGCCTTCTCATTCGGAGGAATAAGGGTCCAAATGTGATCGTTCTTGAGAAACTGCACCACCTATTGTTCAAGGATCTGTACTATTCGCCGACTCTTCAGTGAATGGACCTACGCAGTGATTGCACCTGAACAGCGAGTTGCGAGCATCGAGTTCGGTGGCCGTCGTCATATTTGCATCGAGGTTCTCTCCGCAGAGAATCGCCCGCACGGCTTTAGTGCCGGCCGGAGAAAATACCATAACCTGGCTGTCCGGTCTCCCCAATTCATAGCATCGCACCGTATAGATGTAACTTTGTCATCAGGTAGTTGGAGGGTAGCCGAGGGCCAATTGTGGATCCAGACGGAGTCCCACTCGTTATAAAAGCTAAGGCCGCGTTTCCAAGTGTCGACAACGAAGACGGCATTCTCCCAAGGTCCCGGAGGCGACGGTCGCTGTCTGCAGAGGGGTGGTTGGGTTACCCATTACATGGACGCATGCGCTGAAGAGCCCATGCGGAGGTATCGGCGAGAAATGCGGTCGTAGTAAGCGCGTTGAAGTCTTCCGGAAATAAGTTGGTATTGGAGTCGTCAACGAGCTGCTCAGTGAGCGGCATCTTGGTGGTTTCTGGGCTGCGGAATGCTCCGAAGTGTTTGGACGAGATATTTTCTCTAGGCAGGAAAAACCCCTAGCGAGGCGTGGGCTTGACGGTTGACTTGACCCTCTTCCCCCTCCCTTGCGTTGCAACTAACTTTCCTCCCCCGGTCTTGCGCCGCTTGGCTGCAGGCTCAGAATCCACGCTGCTCTCGTCGGGCATTGTTGTGGTTGGAAAAGAGATTTGCGAAACACTGCCACTGATGTCCAAGCGATTTTGGCACATTCTGTCGAGAACGCCGTGGGCGCGTAATTATAGCGGTTTCAAGTCACCCTACACTCGGAAATTTAGGCAACCCCGCCAATTGGCTCGTAGGGAAACTCAGACTGCACCTTTCTTATGCTCGCCTTCGTCACCGTCGGCACATTCGAATTCGACCTCCTCGTGCAGACGGTGCTCTCCGACGGCGTCCTACTCGCACTACGGAATCACGGCTACACCTGCCTCGTCGTCCAATGCGGCAACTCCGCGTTTGAATTCGCCCACGCCGTCGCGGGCGGCCAGACCGTAACCCTCGACCGACACGACGTGCGCGTTGAACTCTGGAAATCCAAGGGCGCGCTCGACGCGGAGTACCGGCGCGCTGACTTGGTTATCGGGCATGCAGGTGCGCGGGCGTCGCGTCGCGTCGAGTTCAATGGTTCGTAATTTTGACGATGGTGGTAGGGGCGGGGACGATCCTTGAGGTGCTGCGACTACGCAAGCCCCTCATCGTGGTGCCGAACCCGACGCTCCTGCATAACCACCAGCTAGAGCTCGCGCGCGCTCTAGGGCCTTACCTCGCCACGTCGAGCATCGAGTGCGTCGTGCTGCTCTCGTCGCAATTTGATTTTTAATTTCGCTGTAGCAACCTGGCGGCCACAGTCGCTGCCTTCGACACTGGTGCACTGCGCGAGTTTCCGCCGTTCGACGGGAGCAGGTTCCGCGCGCTGGTGGACGACGAGATGGGGTTCTAGAAATACACACATATATATATGCCAAACGCGCCTTGTACCACGCGACCTGTATCACCATCGACCGACCATGGCTCCAGCAGTGACTGCGACCGTCGTAAACGAAGACGCTCCAGAGTCGTACGAGGTGGCGCATGTACACGACGTGTACGACGCCATCGCGTCCCACTTTTCGTCGACGAGATATAAAGTCAGTCGGTCGATAGCCCTGTGTATGCGCGTCACCAACGCGCGTTGCAGCCCTGGCCCATCATAGCCGCCTTCTTAGCGAACCTCCAGGACGGTTGGGTCGGGCTCGATTCAGGAACGGGCAACGGCAAGTACCTGCCCCTCCCACTTGACCGCCCAGGTCGCCAATGGACGATTGGGCTTGACCGCAGTCGCAATCTGCTGGAGATCGCACGGACAGCTGGCGGAGCGAGCGTGCTGCGTGAAGTCGTGTGGGGCGACGTCCTCGGCCACGGCTGGCGACGCGAAGTTTTCGTGTGTAATTTACCCGGAGACGTCTCATGAAAGAAATAATGTGTACCAACAGGACTACGCAATCTCCATAGCTACAATCCACCATCTAGCGACTCCAGACAGACGAAAACTCGCAGTCGAGGTTCATTGTTTCATCAGCTCGAGCAGCCTCGGAATCTAAATCGTTGCAGCGATTGTTGGGCGCCGTCTCACCCGCACATGGACGCGTGTTGATATACGTTTGGGCGACGCGCCAGGACGAGCACTCAAAGCGGAACATCCCAACGAATTCGAGCGGAACGGGGCAGGACGTGTTCGTGCCGTGGGTCCTGGCAGAAGACTCGACGCAAGTGTTTAACAGGTATTACCACATGTTCGACGATGGCGAGCTTGCCGCGCTCGTCACCCTCGCCGCAGAGGAATTGGGTTTAGTCATTGGACCAGCGGCGGCGGAGGGCTCTCTCAAGGGCATAGAAATTGTGCAGGACGGTTGGGAGCGGAGTAATCACTATGTCGAGCTGCGGCGGTGGCAGACGTAGCTGCCTGTTTTCGATTTTCGCAAAATACACAAGAGAAAAGCGCTGCTACTACTCGCTCGCGGCCATGACTGCTGCGAGGTCAGCTTACAAGTCAAGGGACAAGAGAGGGAAAACGCACTGGCGTTGATTAGATCGCCACCGCTCTCTTTTAATGCGCGCACGGCTTTTGCACGAGAACAGTTGACCTGAGCCATGACGAGCTCGATGTCTTTTGCCTCCACACCCGTCTCGTCGAGACCACCGTCGTCCTCCGGGGCCTCTAGCTCGGGGATGTCGTCATCATCGTCCTCGTCTTCCTCGGCACCGACGCCCGAGTTTTCGATGCCCTGCGCGCCTCCGCCGTACTGCTGCTGAGCGCCGAGCTGGGGCTGCTGGCTGGTGTCCTCGATCTGGGACGGTGTAAGTTCTGTGCATGGGGGCTGTGGACGAGGGACGCACCTTTGCCTCGCCAAAGACAATGTAGCAGTCGCTGTTGGGCGCCTTGTAGACATCGGGGGACGAGATGACGAAGAGGACATTCTTGGGCCTCCGGAGGGTAACACGGGTGATGTTGGGGATCTTCTTGAGGCCGAGACCGAGGAGGGCCTTGCGGGCCTTGCGCTCTGAGCGGGACTGGATCTTGTCGAGGGCGGCGGCGGAGGTGGGGTCCTCGTGGTCGTGTTCGTGGTCATGGGGGTGGTCATGGCCTTCGTGGTCGTGTCCGTCGTGGTCGTGCTCGTGGTCCGACTGGTCAGACGGCACTTCCTCGATGTGGGCCGACATGCTATCAATTCATCGTCAGCCACGAGCAACGACGCGCATCCAGCCCAGTTCCGCGTTTTCGCGTCCATCCAGCCATGCGGACACTCTCACCTGCTTAATGCGCTGAACGAAGGGAGATGAACTGAATCGATTCAAAAATCAAGGTGGAAGACGCGCAACTCGAGAACCCTAACCCTCGCTACTGGTCCCAATCCGGGTTGTCGCTACCGACGCCGACATCAATGGCGTCCACTTTCCATCTCCTGCCTCGGTCTCGTCTCGGCGAGCGTCGTCCACTCCCTCGCTTCGAAGAGCTCAATGCGCCGCAAAACTGACTTTTGTCGATGTTCGCATCCCAGGTCTCAACTGCGCCGGGCGCCTCTTTGACATCTCTGCGCACACCTCGCCTTAACTTCATCAGATCGAGCAGGACACTTTGGCCGAGTGGTTAAGGCGATGCCCTGCTATAGTCTGGCACTTTGGCTGAGTGGCGTAGGCATTGGAGTTTCTCCGCGTGTGTTCGAATCGCACAGGTGTCGTAGACGTTTTTGCTTTAGGGATCCGCCGGTACTAGTACTTGGTACTGGCACCTTTCCCCGTTCTTCAATCGTCCGAATCGGTCTGTCCCTGCTGCTCTTTATTTCATTTATTGGTCATGCTAAATGCTCTGGGGATACTCGATTTCATTCACTTCAGCACTTCCCAAACGCATGGATCCTCACCAAATTCGACACCTTAATGTTAATTTAATATTTTACCGTTGAAGATCGCACGGAGCTATGGTGCGGGACACCTAGCTGCCGCTACTTGGTGCGTGAAACTACGGACCATTTCCCGGCCCGAGTTTTACCTCTTTTTCTTATCCGTCTTACAAAAGTGTTCCTTTTCATGTTGTCTACAAAACTGTAAGACAGATTTCCTTTAAGCAAAACTGAGTGAGCAAAAATAAAAGGTTACCTCAAATTTGGCCACTTGCGGGCGAAATATTGAAAAAAGTGGCTGATAGTGGCTGTGTATAGGCCAAAAAATTTCTCCGGCCAGATTGGCCACTAAATTTTGGTGGCGGCAGCTAGGTGTCCCGCACCATAGCCTAAATTTCACGACTACACACTAGTGCTACCGGTGGTTGTGGATAAAAGTGTGTTAGGCACAATGTTGATAACACACGACGGTTGACGTCTCGTTAATTAACCACTTTGGCGGAGCGGCCGGCGCAACACCTTGATCAAGTCCTTGAACACTTTGAGTATAGCACTCTGGCCGAGTGGTTTTGAAGCTCAAGTCAACCCGCTTTGGTAAAGCATAAACACTTTGGTCAAAGATTGCAACAATCTGGTTGGGCGTGAAAAGTCATTCTAGCAGTATGCCACTTTGGCCCCAAAATTGCACGACATCAATGGCGACAACACTTTGGTTGAGCGGCCACTTTACCAAAGTGGGCGGTTAGGCAAAAAAAAAACACTTAGGCTTTCTTTTTTTCTGAAAAGCAAAAACGGAGACCTGGCGAATTCCAACCTCACCCACAAAATCATTGCGTGTGTTCGAATCGCCCAAGTGTCGTTTTTTGTCTGTGTTGTACGGAATTACCTGATTTGGCTGCGAGCGGTTGTTTGCGGTTGTTTCGTCCCACGGGCAATCATGGCACCTCCCCAACGCGTCCTCGTATCATACTCCGGGGCGCAAGCATTTCTGTCTTCCGGAAGCTGGGACCAGATTCACACCGCGCTGCTAGCCCAGCTTCCCTTGCGCAATATCCATTGGAAATCACCATCTCGGCCCTCGATCAGAACCATCCAAGAACTCGATATTTCTCTCGTCCCACTCGAATCTTTACGCGATGAGCACACGTCCCAGATACCAGAGACCTTGCTGGAGAAACCGTTTCTCAATATCTACATCGTGACTTGTGAGGTGACTTGGAAACGAATCCGTAACAACCAAGATTCTGACACCCACCGCTCTAGGATACCGACCTCGAAACTTACAAGAATACGATCAAGCGCCAGGTTAAAGATTGGCATACCGTGGTCACCGCCCGAAAGAACCAGGAATGGCTCATACTCCACGTTGTGCGGCCAGATGCACGGACCCCGAGCGGCAATTTCTTCCAGCTCAAGGGTTCCGTTTCGGACAAGCTCAAGACCGACTTCAATACAGACCGGCGAGACCGGTTAGTTCTTTTACTAAAAAGCTGTCCCCCTGCCAACTCTACTAGGTGTGTACAGCTCGCGTGGACTTCTGGATACGACAATCCGGCCGCTTGGGCAGAATTTGTCAACAAGCTCAAGGACGGGCTGTTGACCTCTTTCGATCTTGCAGTTTCGCAACGGGAGGACGATGTGAAGCGTTCAGAGAGTCAGAGACAGATGCCAGGATGGAACTTTTGCACGTTCTTCATTCTCAAGGTAAAGCAGTACATTAGGTTTTGAACGATCTCACTCTTTCCTTCAGGAAAGTCTCGCGGGGTCATTCCAAGGCGTTAATCTGTTCGAGGATGCCCTGTTGCAGTACGACGAGCTGGAGGCGTCTTTCTATCAAGTGCTGAAAGAAAAGAATCTCTCCTGGTTCGGAACTCTCATTACTCCCAGTTCCAACGACGACTCTTGCCCCTTGTTGTCGATATCCAAAAAGCCTTACCGAGATTTAATTCTCGCCAACACCATTTCCGTGTTTGATTTTCGGATATATCTGCTTGCTCGTCAATGTGAACTGCTTGCCAATCTGGGGCGAATCAACGAAGTTAGCAGCAAAGCGTCCGCATTTCTTGGGGCTTTCGGACGCCGATTGTCTGAGGTAGAGGTGCGTTATCATTCAACGGCGCTCTCCCGTGCCAATACTGAAGGAGCTCAGGAGACTACTATCCCCGAGTTCTTTGTCGAATCGTGGACATATTCCTCCGCCCTCAGTGTTGTGGATCAGTGCGATGCCTGGGCCTCTACTCTCAGCCTTCAAGGCACCAAACTTAGCGCGTTCAATGCAGGAAAGGGTGAATTGTTAGAACTCGCTCGAAATCAGGTGCGAAAGCCTTGAATCGTCCCACTCCCCTTTCTCATAGATCAAAGCTGGATATTATAGGTGTCAAAGTTGGGCATCTTCCCATACGCCCTCCCTTTTGCAACTCCCCTCGACCGCCCCCGTGCTCTGGGTCCCCTGATTCGGAAAAGAAAATTTCGAGCGCAGACATTTTGGAATCCGTTGAAAATAGAGATAAATTCTTCGAGACATATGTGGAAATAACGAATCGAGCAATTGACATGTACGCCAAAGCCGGCCGCCGGAAATTTGCTCTCAAGCTGCACGGTAGCCTCGCCGCCCTTGACGTGTAAGCAAGCCATTTCATATTTCCTCCTTGACTGACGACGGACTCTCAAGGCACCGTGGACGACTCGCGGCGGCCTTGACCACGTACACATCCCTGCCCGCACACTACGCGCCGCATATGTGGACTTCTTTAGAGTCATTGATGTTGTCTCTGGCCCTGGACACGCATGCGGAGCTTGACAAGACTAAAGACCGCGAATGGATCCACATTCTCCTTTCGTTTCTCAAGACCTACGTGGATACTGTGGGATTGGATTTACTAATGCACGAGGAAGATAGCGTCGAATATATCTCCCGTCTCGTGCAGGCCATGAAGGATGCAGCCACCGCACTTGAATCTGGTCGGAAACATTCTCTTTGGCACCCGCTGTCCTGACGTCCTCCCTCAGATTTGTCGCACCCAGAACATCCCGCCATGTCAATACAGGTCTCATCGGCGGCGAAACTAGCTGGAGACAAGGACGGCTCGTTCCTTGACGTTGTAGTTCACAACCACTTGCCATGTGTAATCTTGACCGCGCTCCTTCGTTGCTTTCTGTCTGATTCTCAAACTAGGCCGTACCGATCGATGGTATCGTTGCAATCCTGTCTGGGAGGGACTCAGAGCGGCTCCGGTTTGCTGCACCCAGCGATACCATACCCCCGGGAAAAACTGAAGTGACGTTATTCTGCCCAGTACGTGTTATACACTCCGAATTTCCGCACTATTCACGCAATGACAGACTTCGTCCGCCGGTACATATATCCTTGAGAGCACAGAAGCTCAAATGTCCCACCTCGTTTTTCAATGGACGCATCGGAAGCCCTCGCCTGGCCGAAAATTTTCTCGTAAACACGGCTTCTCGTTGGTCCGAATACCTCGCGACCTTTTAGCTATGGATGTTCGCCTCCATCAGCCGAATCTCAGTAAGAGAAGTATTAACCAGATTTGGCCCTGTCTAAAGTATGCCCTTAGTCGAGCTCGGAAAACCGCCATCCCTCCTTGTCGCTATTTCCACAGGAAGAAACCACGTTGCAAAAGCGACAATCAAGTTCAATGTACCTTCTGTGACTTTCCGTTATAAACAAGTTAAACTTACCAATGGCAAGAACTCGTCTCGTGTTCCGTGCCCTTGATGCTAATATTTTCAAAAGTACAAAATGACATAAACCCACTCGAGGTTGATGACGCGTGTATTTCTATCTTGGACTTGACAGAAGCCAGTCATCTCGAACTTTTACTTCCATACTCCGATGCCTCCGCATTCCATGCAATGGTATGTGTTTTTCCCCACGGCGTCTTCACACCTGATCCCAGGATTTCCAGAAAGTCGATGTTGAAGTAGAATATGTTACAGTCGCAGAGCCGGACATTACTCGGACACTGCATTTGAACCGAGTTGTCGCTACAACATTACCGATTTCGGTCAACGTCCAAGACTTTTTCCGTGGAAACCGGTTCGTGGTGGAGGTTTTCCATCCACTACACAATGTCTAATGCCCAACATCAGCCTTTTTTCAAAGTTTACTATCTCAACGACCAGCCATCAGCATGTCCGCATCTCTGCGGCCCAGTTGCAAATTCCTGACGGGGGGTTGGATGGCCTGAAAGTAGTAGCGTGTTCGCCTCAAGCTCGCAGCGTTGTGGTCAGTTGGCTAACTGTTCGACGGCCTTTTTGTTGATTACGACTCGGACTTTAGACTGTTACCCCAGCGCAATCCGCCAACTTCTTGTTCTATCTCGATTCTGCAAATGGCCCAGGTTCGTTCTCGAGCTTCCTTGTGACTGCTTCGCGGTATTCATTGTACGAAAAGTGGGGGAGTCTCTCAAATTCCGCATTAGTTACCGCATGTTGCGTGAAGGTGAAAAGTCTTATTGATCAAGTCTCAACCGTGCTGACCCCTTTTCCAGAAGTGGAAGCTTTGATCGAGACTTCAGTCGAGCAAGTATTGTCCAACTCGACGGCTTTACTTGCGGAAAGGGTCGAGCTTGTGAACAAACTTGTGGAGGCGCTGGAGCAGGACAGTGCATGGGTGGAGATGTATGGAATGTCGGGCGAGCTCAACGTTCCTGAGGTGTTTGGTGAGCTTGGGGACAGCGATGATCCACTTCATCGCGTGATAAAGGTCCGTAGGCCAATCGGTCATCCGAGATTATCTCAACACGTTCTTAGCTTTTGCATGAACACAAGCATCCGCATCCTCCGGTAGGAAAGTGGCGAGAGATCAAGATCCCCGT